GGATTGCTCTGGTTCTTAAGCTATGTGCTGCAGGCATCACCCTTTAGGCTGGTGAAACACTCCTGGCCTCACTTCCAGTGGAACCTAGGGTCCTCTTCCAGAACTGACTTTTCTAACAAGCTCATGGTGACATCAACCCTCCTCTGAAAATCATACATTAGAGCAAAGCCCTTTCCGTCCCTGCAAATGCTGACCGGGGAGGCTGGAATATGAGAGCGGAAATTATTTCATATGTGGGGCTCTGGACTGAGGCATACAAACTGTCATAGCAGGGGTTCTTTCCTAGAAGGGTCAAAAGCAAAACTGAAGTACAGTCACATGGAAATGAAGGGGCAGTTTATGACATCTCCTTAAGTGGGCATATTCACCGTCGACAATTTTTATAAAACCCGGTGTTACGTACGGACAGTTATCACCTCCTCTTCACAGAGGAGGAAAATGGAACAGGCTGTTTTGCCTAGACTCATCTAACCCACCAGTGAGAAAACAGGAACGAGGGCTCAGGCACGCCATCCAACGGCTCTGGTCTGCTGCCTGGTGGCACCAGTCTGTGGTGGGTGAGAATTTTGTCTCCAGTACTTACCAGGGGAGCATTCATTGCAAGTTGCCCAGACTGTGTGTCTACCGAATGGAAGTCTCGGACCTCCCTACCTCTTTGAGCTGTTGTTGGAATTAACAGAACTGATACTATGAAGTGTTTAGGCCCGGCAAGATAAAAATTTGTTGGAGATAAACCCAGCTACCCATCAGAGTGCTGGCACATCGAATCCCTCCAGGGTGGAAGCTCAGAAATGGTACAACACCTGAAAAGATTGCAAACCTTAGGCCCTGGTAGTGGAGGAGTCAGTCTCCTGGAGCTTGCCCACCGGGACAAGACTCCAGACTCACTCCCTGGGTATGCACCTCCCCACCCCAACCGAGGCGCTCCGAGTTTCCTGCCCGACTGGGGCCCGGGCTGCGGGCGGGTGGAGGAGGGCTGGCATTTCCTGGCTGCAGAGTCACTGGCTCAGGGGCGCTCGGACAAAGCGCTGACCGACAGGCACCAGATGCTATTTCGGGCTTAGCGCGCAGTTTCCGTTTTTCCACTGTCGGAAACAGGGAACGCGGAGCCTGCGGACGTCACGAGCCCCCAGCCTCAGGAGGGGGTCCCGAGCCCAGGAGGGGCAAGGCCCAGGTGTTAGAAACTGCGAATGGGCGGACACTGCCCCTGCGCCTTCTATCCAAACCTCCTCCTTAACCGGCTTTGGAACCGCCCAAAGACCATTTCACACTCAGGACAAAGATCCAGCCATCATCATCCACCGAGTTCAAGACAAAATGCATAACCTCCCCTAAGTCCTTGGGCCTCGAGACATCCCCGACCCCACTCCCTCTCCTGAAGTAACCAAACTGTCCCAGACATCCAGAAGCCCAAGATTTCCTGGATTCCTCGCTTTACCTTACTCTCCATCCCAGCTCTTCCAAACTCAGTCTTATATACTACAAAAACCTACCCCCACACCCTCTCTTCCACCTCCTCTAGGGAGTATTAGAACAAACTCTAACACCCCCTTCCTGGTCCCAGAACACCCAGCCTTCACCTCCCCGCACCCTCCCCTCCAGTCCCCTCCGCTTGCCATTTCAACCCAAAGGTTTTCTAACAAAGCAAATCTGATCTTCCATAGAACACCAAGCCCTTATGTAAACAAACAAAACGGTAAAAACAAAACCTTCAATTCCTCCACCCATGCTGTACCGGCTTTGTTTTCTATTTCTTACGAGAACTCTCCCCCTTTCTACTTCGGCCCTTGGTCCAGGCCCGTCTTTCTCGGGAGGGAAGCGTACTCACATACAATACAGAAATAGATGTCTTCTTTGTGCGGGGATTAGATGGCCAGCGACTTGCAAGCAGAGAGGGCTCAGTCTCATAGCCACATGCCTTTCGCTCTCTCTAAATCATGCAAAGGCAAGGGCTTTGTGACCGTGTGTGGAGGGGTGAGTGGATCTTTTTCTCAGGACACTGGTGATGCTTTCACTGGGAGAGTCCATGGAAATTGCCTGTACAAGCAGAGCGGCTGGACTTTGATCAAGACACACACACACAGGAACAGACAGATGTACTAAACTACACTCCATTTCATGTATTGTTCCTGAAATCTAGGAGGGACCGGACTCAGACTGGAGCCACACCTTGTGATGAGCCCTTGACTGGGTCTCAGTCTGTGACCAGACTAGGGGGCTTTTACTTTTAGAGCTACTGGAAGGTTCAGAGCTACCGGAAGGCCCCCTCTCCTGGTCTCTGGATACAGCACACAGACATGCATACAAGCAAAGCACTCATATACCCGAGACACATACATACATAACCGATGGGCAACTTGGTCTTCACCTGGGTCTCCCTAGCAAGTGGGTGTCTCCGACATGGATTCAGTCACTTGCCTCTAGCTGGGCTGCCTTGTTTGGCCTCAGGGGAAGTCCTGGATGTGCTGGGGAGGGTTGGTAAGGTTGAACTCCTCTTTTCTGAGAAGGGAGGGGGTGAGGGGAAAGTAGATGGGAGTAGGAGCAGAGGAGGGAGGGTGTGCATTCAGTACGTAAAGTGAATAAATAAAAATTAAAAACTAAAAATAAATAAAACGGGCAACCCCCCACCTGTACACATAAAATATTTTTTTAAAAAAATTCACTGAGACCAACTTATGCGCATTAAGTCATGGGTGTGGGGCTAGAGGATGGTCTCCTTACCAGGGGCCACACCCTTAGAAATCATTCCCCTCCTGGACAAGTACTCAACTGTCAATAGCTCTTCAGTTACTTTGGCTCATGAGCCCCCACAACTCTCCACCCTAGATCGGCTTGATTCTGTGCATGCCACCACAGCTATGGGTTATCAGTACAAAAGTCTGATGTGACTAGAAGATACTGTTTCACTCTGGTCCTGCCTGATTGGCTCTTACAACGTTTTCCGTTTGTTTCTTCTCTACTTCAAAACGGGGTCTCACTATGTAGCTGTGGCTGCTCTGGAACTCTACATGTAGGCCAGGATGTCCTTGAACTCATGGATATCCACCTGCTTCTGCCTTCCAATGCTGGAGTTAAAGGCATGCACCACCACAACCAACATTAGTCTCTGCTTTTATTTTTTGAGACAGGGTTTCATGTAGCCCAAACTGGTTCCATAAATTGTTGAAAATGACCTTAAGCCTATGATACATTCGCCTTCCCCTCCTGGGTGCTAGGATTACAGTAGCCAGTTTCCACCATCATGAAAAGATAAACCCAGATGCTCTTCAGCCCAACTGAGTTCCTGCCATGAGCTGTGTCTATGGGCTTCAGCGCCAAACTCCCTTCAAATCAGGCTTCTGTCACTCTCTAGAAATCTGACATTGAGTTACTTTGGCTCAGCCCTCCCATCCGCCTCTCTCTACTCTGTTTTCTCACCTGTAAATTGGGAATAAGGGCACCAGTGGTGGGGGGACCCAGGAAGGGAAAGAGTATCACTAAAGCACAACTTTGTTAAAAGGTGCCAAAATACATGCTAATTGTGTGCTAATTAACAAACAAAAGCACCACAAAAACGGGTGTGTTGGCGCACACCTTTGCTCTCAGCGCTTGGGAGGCAGAGACAGGCGGATTCCTGAGTTCAAAGACAGCCTGATCTACAAGACGAGCTCCAGGACAGCCAGGGCCACACAGAGAAACCCCATCTTGAAAAACCAAAAACAAAAGAAAAAGAAAGGGAGGAAAGAAAGAAAGAAAGAAAGAAGCCAGTTTAGAATTCACTAGCTTATGTGCCACCGCATTTTATTTTTATTTTATTTTTATTTTTATTTTGGCAGCATTGGTATTGGAATCCTTAGCCTTAAACGGGATAGGTAAGCCTCAATCTCCGGTGTATCTCCAGTTCTTAGGGGTTTAATGAAAACTAGATGGTGGAGTCTCCGGTACCGAGATTAAGGAGTGTGTTAAGTAACAGGCTGTGTGTGTGTGTGTGTGTGTGTGTGATGTGTGTGTGTGTGTGTGTGAGCTTCATAGGTTTTTATCCTGAAAACCAAGCCAAAAGGGGACGTTTTCATCTCTCTGTTGACACATGTTCTGTCCCAAATAGACCCCTTGGCTTTGAGCAACTCCAGTTTAGAGCCGTCAGGGTCCGATGCTGGTGAGGGTCAGCGAGGAGCTGGGGGTTGGACCGCGGGACTCGCAGAGGCAGACCACACCACGGCCCCCTGGTTTGGAGGACACAGGAGAAAGGACGAGTAAATCAGCGAAGGTGAAGCGGTGGTTCGGGGGTCCCGGTGGTGCTAAGAGGCTAGACAGCGGCCAAAGCGGCTGGGGGAGCATCTGGAAGGCGGGGACCCACGTCGGGTTGTTTGCGGGGAGCGGGAATCCCCAGCGGCCTGGGGCTGGACCCAGCGGGCCACTCAGCCGTCTCCACCGCCCCCTCCCCGGGCAGGCCCAGCGCCCAGCCTCCCGTCCCCGCTCCCTCCGGAGAAATTGCCAAATTAAAATGAATCATTTGGCCCATAATGGCCGAGGCGCTTATCGGGGGCGGGCGGGCCCGCGGCGGCGCCTTATCTCGGCGGCGCACACGGCGGCTGCTAACGACGCCCGGGGCGGGAGCGGGAGGAGAGCGCGCGGCGGGGGACGGGGGGGGGGAGGACGAGCGGCCACGCGCACACCCGGGGCCGAAAAACCCCACAAAACCCCACAAACGTGAGCCCCTCGGCGGGCGCAGGCCCCGGCCGCCCCCGGGGGCCCGCGGGGCCCTCTCCTCCGTCCTCCCCCGCGCGCGCCGCGGCCTCGGCGGCCTCTCCCGGGCCGTCCCGGGGGTCCCCTTCCACGACGCCCCTCCCGCCGGGGAGCCTCTCTTCCTTCCTTCCCCCTTTTCCCCTTGCGCAACAGACAGAAAATCGCCAGGCGCGGGCGGCTGCCACCGCTGCTGGGCTCGGGCGTGCGGGCGGGCGGCCGCGGCGGCTCCCGCGCGCGCGGGCTTCGGGCAATCGGCGGTGTGCGGGAGTGGGGGGCCCCCCGACCTTCCCTCGGGGCCCCCCCGCGTTTTATTCGTTGTGCGTGAATCACCCCGTTTCCTCTCTCCGCGAGGTCGGGCCCCCGCGGGGCGCGGCGCGGCCGGCCGGCTCGGTTATGCCGCGCGGGTGCGCCCCCCACCCCGTGGGCTCGCGCGTCCGTGGGCGGCTGCGTGTGACTGATGGCGCTGGGTGGCGTTGGACAGCGCGGCCGCCCTGCCCACGCCGGCTGGCGGGGCCCCGAGCCGCCTCGCGCTCCCCCGCTCCCCTCCTCCGGGGCTGGGCCGTGCGCGGTCCTGTCCGCCGGGGAACCCGCGCCGGGGGTCCGTGTCCTTTAGAGGTGCGTTGGCGAATAGCCGGGGGCGGGGGCGAGGGCTGGGGGGCGGGGAGAGGGGTCTCACATTTTACCCCAAATTATGATGTGCTGGGGGGGGGGCTGGCTCGCGGAGGTCTGCGCCTCGGTGTTGGGGTGTTGGGGGGAGGGCGGGCTCTCCCGAGCCGGAGGAGAGCGGACAGTGCTCCCCAGGGCCACCCTCTCCGCGCCGGGGCCCGAGCCCCGCTGCGCCCCGGCTCCGCCCGCCTCGGGTTGGTTCGGCGGGTGCGTCCGCGGCGGCTGGGAGCGAGGCCCGGGGGGGGGGGGGGGCCCCCGGGGGGGGTTTCCCGGGGGGGGGGGGGGGGGGGGGGGGGGGAACGCGGGGGGGGGGGGGGGGGGGGGGGGGGTAGCCACAGCGCAGCCCTGCACCTCCGGGAGCACCGAGGGGGGTGGTGGGGGAGAGGGACCCCGGCTTCCGCCGCGGGGGGACGCCTTGGCGATTAACCCGAGGCTCCGGCGTGTCAGGAGAAGGTGGACTTCCCCGGCAGAACGAATTTAAAGGCCCGAGGGGGGCCGGGGAGGGGGGAAGCTCACCGGGTCCGGCTCCCTCCCCTGCTCTCCCCTGCCCCACCTTCCCTTCTGCCCTGTCGGTCGCTGCAAAACGAGAGTCTCTCCCAGCTGCCGGTCAAACCCTCGAGGAATCGGGGGTCGCCGTCTGCAAAGGTGGCGGAGGGAACGGGCGCAGAGAGCGCCTCCCCGCAGCCCTCACCTCGCGCGGAGGAGAGCGAGGACCAGACGCGGCCTCCCCCTGCCTTTCTGCGGGGAAGCGGGGCCTTCGGGAGCGCGTCCTGCCTCCGCTCCGGCCCGGGGCTCGGCAGATGGGGGGGGGGGGGGGGGCTCCTAAGTTCTGACCCTGCGACCTGGGGACGCCTGTCTCGTCCCTCCCACCCTCTCCTCCCGCGTCAGGCAGGGAATCACGCCCTTGCGCTGCGGGGCAGCCGGAGCCCGGGCTCAGGCTGCGGAGCCAACCGCGTAGACGCGTCCACGGGCGGGAAACAAATTCAGCCCTACCGAATCGGGCGGACCCGTTAGCAGGGTTCCAAAAGGTTCCGGGCAGCCTGCCTGAGAGGCTGCTGTTGTTGGACCGAGGGGCTATTCCTGATTGGTCAGGTGGAGGGTTCTTTTTTTTTTTTTTAATGGGGGGGGGATGTGTCTGGGGGAGGGGGCCTCCGAACACCTGCAAATTGTCGGCGGGAAGCCCTTGGCTATTCTCCGGGCTGGCGGAGCACAGGAGGTAGATCCCAGCCACTGACCCCCCGTTTTCTCTCTCGCCCTCCCTCTTTCTCTCCACCCCCATCTTTCCTGGAAACTCGCTTTGGGCGCGGCAGACGGCGCAGGACCTCGCGGCTCGCTAAGTAACTGCTGGCCTCTCGGCGAGAGCCGGGGGAAAAGCCAGCGCCGGGGTCCTACCTTGATCCCTCCGCAGAGGTCCTAACCAGACGGCCCGGTCCCTCTAAATATGCCCCAGGTGAGCTGCGGGCCACAGTCCGGGGGGACGGGGGCGGGAGGCGGCGACGTCTGTGGAAACGGGGTTCAGGGTTGTGGGGGACCGGGGTGGGGTAGGCTCAGAACCGAGAAGGTGAGCGGAGGGGAGAGGTGGCGTGGTGGAGGGGGAGAAGACCAACCTAGGCTGACTCTTCCCGGGATCTTACGGCCACTCAGCTGCCTCAGGCCTCCGGCAGGGCCCTTTCCTTTTTCCGGCCTTCGATAAAACCAGCTGGTTGGATTATGTCGTGTGTGCCCCCCCACCCCCCGGGCCGCTCCCATGGTCTCAGTTCCGAGCACATTTCATAAGGCCGGTAACTTTATTGTGCCTACATCCGGGTGGCGCAGGCTGAGCTTGGGGCTCCAGGCAGGAAAAAGACCAAGGCCATCCCGGCTGAGGCCTGAGGCCTAACGAGCTATGTTGGAACGCATCTCCAGGCCCGAGGTGGCCGAGACCGTGTTCACCGGCGGGTTAGGCTGCGGCGCAGGCTTTGCGTTTCTCCGCCGACTCTTGTTCCCTTGTTCAGGCACAGATTGTCACACGCTGGCGTTGGGGCAACTGGAAGCTGAAGGTGGCGTTGAGGCTGCAGCCTGGGTCTCCGCAGCACAAAGAGCTGAGATGGTCGAGTGCGCTAGCCTAGTCCTGAGCCCCCTCCTTTTTCCATCCTCCCTTAATAAAAACAAATGCGTACAAAACCAGCTAGTGTTAACCCCTGGGCTGCTGGAGGTGATCCTGGTCTTAGGAGGGTTTCCCGAGGTTCGGGAGCCGGGCATGGGGAGTTCTCTTGGAAACCTTGAAGGTTTATAGCATCTGGAGAGGGTCAGGGTCAGCTTATCTGGCCTACGTGCTCCCTGTGGCCCTTGGGAACCTGCCTGTACTGATAGGGGAGCCAGAAGGGAGCTGGGGCTCGGTTAGTGCATGCAGGTTTGTTCCTAGGAAGCTGGGACTAGCGCTGGTCATTGAAAGCACACAGATGGCGGTGGCGATGAGGTAGGGGACAGCATCTCTGGCTTGTAGGTGTCACCAGGCGCTGGTTTATTTTGGGGGCACTTCACCAGCTAGAAGGGAAAGCCAGGGCGGCTACCACACTTCTGGTTCATTTCCGGTGGTTTTTGGTATTCTCTGTGTATATAGGCATTCTGTCTCCACTATAATCGTGAATTCAATTTCAGGGAAGCACCACAGACCCATACTAGCTCTGCAGCTTGTGTGTAACAAGTCTTGGGGAATTTCTTAGCCCAGACTGGACTAACCCAGAACAGCTAGTGTAATTGCAGCCGTTGGGTCCCCATTTGTATTTGGCTATAAAGAGTTTTGGAGGGGCCTGAAGAAGGTCCAGTTTCCTTTCCTTAACAGGAGGGATCAGTTCCCAGGATAACGATGGTCCTGGCGTTGCAGTAGCCAAATGGGAGCTCCATGTTTGTGTCAGTGATTAGACAGAACTGACTTGGGCGTGTGTGTGTGTGTGTGTGTGTGTGTGTGTGTGTGTGTGTGTATTTTTAAAATACTCCAATTCTGGCCAGTGAGTTGACCAGGTGGATTAGGACATTGGTATCAATGTCCTAATTGGTATCAAGCTTGACGACTTGAATTTGATCCCCAGTATCCAAGCAAAAGGAAAGACCTGACTGAAAATTGTCCTCTGAGTCACACACTAGTGGCTGTGGCTGCACCCTCATCCACAAATAAGTAAATGTAACAAAAATTAAAACGAAACAAAATAACCCAAATGTCCGATCCTGTGAGCAGAAATCTGAGTTTGAAGAGTTTATTTAGCCTGCCAAGGTGTGTGTGTGTGTGTGTGTGTGTGTGTGTGTGTGTGTGTGTGTGTATGCACCCATAAACGTGCACACCGAGGAGACAGGATCATGTTTAGGCTAACTTGAAATTCAGCATCCTTCTCAGGGCTGGGGTTAAAGGCACGCGCCACCCCAACTTAGGAGTTTACTGTATTTTTGTCTTTAACATCAAAATAACTCCTAAGTACCCTCCAACGTGGGATCCTGAGTCTTAGAGTTTCCGTGTCTGTCCTGTTGCCCGGCCAGGTGCCATCTGGATGAACCCGGGCCATGCAAGAACTCTCAAGCCGGTGGGAGGCGCGGTGGCTGTTTATCCTGGTTGGAACCGAGCAAGTTTCTGGGTTTATATGAGAGGTCAGGATACAGCGAGGTCTGAATTCCACGTTAATGCGGACTACCGACGTGTGTGCGCGTGGAGCGGGGAGGCCTCGCTGGCACAATTCAAGGGCCGCCTTGGTAATTCCTCCATCAGGAGGGGAACCCAGATCCCAGCGGCTTCAGGAGTACTTCCCAGGGCCTGGGTTCCTGGCGTCTTAGTGGGGTTTCCCTTCCAGACCTACCGTCCCTTTTGAGTACAGCTGGGCAGAAGGCGTGTGAAGGAGGGCAGGATCAGAATCCAGGGCCAGCTCCATTCACGGACCCTTTTCCCAGGGGTAGGATTAGCTCCCTGCAGAACACAGCGCGGGTTTGCAACCTTCCGCCTAGCTGGGGGAATACTGGCGGAAGGCGGCTGGTTCCTCTGGAACCTTTCTCCCGTCCGTAGCCGAGCCTAGCTCTGTTCCTGCAGCCTCCACTCCCTACTTCACCGCCGTAACGTATCTGGGTCTACGTGTGTGGCACTTGGGTGTAGCGGGAGAGCCGGGAGAGCGTCCTAAAGCACCTTGCCGGACAGATTCCCCGCCAAAACCAGAAGGGGGGCGGGAAGGATACGCTCGCTGGGGGCTGTGTCCCCTCCCCTTCCCCCGGGGCCGAAGAAGCAGGGACCGGGTGATCTTTCTTTCTTTCCTCTGTGCATTTCCTTCCTCCTTTTTCCCCTTCGATTTTCGTTTCACCGGCTGTATTTTTCTCCTAACGTTTCTGCCGTATTTTTCCCCCAACTCTGTCCCCACCTTTGGACCCTGTGCTCCTCCGGGGGGGCTTGCCCTACCCTCTTCTCCCAATCTAGAGACACCCCCACCTCGCTCCAGCCCCAGGCCCACGGGGCCCTGCACGCCGCGGGGTCGGGGTGCGCGTCCTCCCGCGTGGCGGTGAGTCCGTCCGTCCCCCTCCCCCCCCAGCTTCCAGCGCGTGACCTCCCCTCCGCCCCCCTTCCCCGTTACAGGATGACGGAGCGGCCGCCGGGCGAGGCGGCACGCAGTGACCCGCCGCTGGAGGGCCAGGACGCGGCCGAGGCCCGCATGGCCCCCCCGCACCTCGTCCTGCTCAACGGCGTCGCCAAGGAGACGAGCCGCGGCGCCGCCGCCCCGGCCGAGCCCCCAGTCATCGAGCTGGGAGCGCGCGGCGGCGCGGGGGGCGGCCCCGCCGGCGGGGGCGGGGCCGCCAGGGACTTAAAGGGCCGCGACGCGGCGGCAGCCGAAGCGCGCCACCGGGTGCCCACCACGGAGCTCTGCAGACCTCCCGGACCCGCCCCGGCGCCCGCGCCCGCCTCGGCCCCGGCGGAGCTGCCCGGAGACGGCCGCATGGTGCAGCTGAGCCCACCCGCGCTGGCTGCCCCCGCCGGCCCCGGCCGAGCGCTGCTCTACAGCCTCAGCCAGCCGCTGGCCTCGCTAAGCAGGTGAGTGGCCCGACCCCCTGCTGCGCCCCGGGGTCCGCGAGGGGCCCGGCGGGAGGGGAGGTGGCGAAGGGCTCCAGGACGAAAGGGCCTAGGGTGTCCCGCCCCTCGCCAGAGTAGGAACGGGGACCCCTGGGAGACGGACTGTCAGGAAGGACCAGTGGGACTTTGGGAACGGGTGCGTGCGTGCGTGCGTGTGTGTGTGTGTGTGTGTGTGTGCGTGTGTGTATGTGTGTGTGTGTGTGTGCACGCGTGTGGTGTCCGCCTGCCCCTTTGAGGATGCGGCCATGCGGATGGGTATGAAGAGCCGAGGAGACTGTTGATAACCGTGTTGGAGGGACTCTTTGGTTATGGGTTGCGGGCCAGCGTCCGGAAGCCCCTCTGCAGCAGAGTAGAGGTTTGCTGCGGAGGTTGGATCCTCCTCGAAGCTGCCGCGGTGGGTAGACGGGCTGGAGTGAGGGATCTGCCGGCGGTTGCTGAGGGCAGCTCCTCTCAACCTCTGCTGAGAGGCGGTGAGCCACGCTGTCATCTGCTCCTGGTTCTTCTGTCCCGTTACCTGCGGGGCCGCCAGGGAATAGCTGATGCGAGGTTCCTTGCTGGGCCCCTGTGGTGAGGGAAGGTGAGCCGCAGAATGTGGGACAGGCGATGGAAAAAAAAAAAATTCTAGGAGAAAAATAAAAAATTCTAGGCTCCATCCAGAAGGGATGGAGAGTGATGGAGGCGTGAGGCTGGTGGGAGGGGGCGCCCTGAGACCCTTTGTGGTGCTGGAGCTGCCACCCATCACTTCCGTCGCTGTCCGTCTGTGTCGGTCCTTGTCCCTGAGTGAAGGTCTGCCGGGCTTGTATGATTGCATCTGAGTGTGAGGGGTGTGTGTGTTTGTGCTCACTCTCTCTCTCCTCCCTCTCGCTCTCGCTCTGTGTGTGGGTGGTTGGGGGGCGCACACGGGCGCGCGCGCACGCGAGCCTGAGGACAGGAAGACCCCATTTATGCTTTGTTCCATATGTTCACCCGCTCTGCTTCCGTGAATGCACGTGTGAATTCAATCTGCAACTTATGCGTTGCAGGGATTAGGGTGCCTCAGGGGAAGGGGACTGCAGACAAGCAGGGAGAATCCACCTAAGGGACCCTTTTTCCTTTCGCCTCGCCTCATCGTGATCTACCTTCGCTTTGCTTTCCGCAGTGGGTTTTTCGGGGAGCCGGATGCCTTCCCTATGTTCAACAACAACCGGGTGAAGAGGAGGCCCTCCCCGTATGAGATGGAGATTACCGATGGTGAGTCTACACCCAGCCCTGGTTGGAGCATGTGCAATCGGGAGTATGGGGACAATGCAGGTTATCGCAGAGTTGAGAAACCCCCAGCTGCCAGAATTCTTCACCTTGCAGCTGAGTCAGGGCCGGCACTTAGGCCTGTAGGGTCAGCTCCCACTCTAGGCTTGATCCCTGCACTTCAGCAAGGATAAAGGAAGAGCAGAGGGGGCTGGAGAGGTGGCTCAGAGGTTAGGAGCACCGACTGTTCTTCCAAAGGTCCTCAGTTCAACTCCCAGAAACCACATGGTGGTTCACAGCCATCTGTAATGAGATCTGGAGCAGGTGTAGATGCAGGCAGAAGAATGTATACATAATGAATAAATAAATAATTAAAAAAAAAAAGAAAGAAAGAAAGAGTAGAAACACTTCATGTTCCCAACTCCAATTCCCTTACTCCTTGAATTGAATCTTGAATCCACTTTGGACTCTCTGGCTAGAATTGTGCCCTCAACAGGGGATCATGGAAGCAGGTGGAGAGACTCACAGACAAACTTTGGCAGGGAGTCTTATGGAAGAAGGGGAATATAGAAGGACCCGGAGGGGACAGGAGCCCTACAAGGAGACCAACAAAGCCAAAACAAAAAACAAACAAACAAAACAAACCAAAAACCTGGGCCCAGGAGGGGACTGACAGCATCAACCAAAGACCATGCATAGAGAGGACCTAGAACCCCTGCTCATATGTAGTCTATAGACAGCTCAGTTTCTATGTGGGTTCTCTAGTGAGGAGAGAAGAGATAGTCTCTGACATGAACTCCGGTTGCCTGCTCCTCGATCACTTCTCCATGGTGGGGTGACCTAGCCAGCCCACAAAAGAAGAGGATCCAGGCAGTCCGATTAGGACCTGATAGGCTGGGGTCAGACAGTAGGGGAGGAATACTGCCCCATCAGTGGACTAGGGGAGAGAAAAAGGGAGGGTGGGTAGGACTGGGAAGAGATGAGGGAGGGGGCTACAACCAGGATACAAAGTGAATAAATTGTAAAATAAAGAAAGAAAGAAAAGAAAAAATAACAAAGAGTTTATTCCCAGGTCTGTTATGAGACCCCTCTGTACCTCCTCCACAGTCTGGGCTGAGATCGGGAGTGGCTTATAGTGCCACGGAATAGATAGATAACCAGGGGACTCAGAATTGCTGGAAACTCTCTGAATGTTCTCTGGCTTGGGTGAATGGAGATCTGGAGCCCTGCCTACTTCTGCCAATGTTGACTTGACCATACCAGGCAGGAGGTGGGTTTCTGCAGGCTTAGGGGGATTTCTAAGGGATGCTGCCTGCCTGGGGGCCCAGTAGGAAGTGTGTTGAGGCTTGTAGAGAACTGGGACCACGACTGGGAGTTTGTAGAGAGTGTGTGTGTGTGTGTGTGTGTGTGTGTGTGTGTGTGTGTGTGTGAACTTGAGCTTCTAGAGACGGTTCTAGAGAGGAAGGAGCTAGAGTCTGACAACACACACACACACACACACACACACACACACACACACACACACTAGCCCAGGATACAGATGCATATAAGAACCAAGATAGAGTGACTTGGTGCTTCTGGGTGAGAGAGAGTTCTCCAACTCCTTGTAAGTTCTGCTGTCATGGAGGTACTCCTGGCTCCTCTTTCTCTGCCTGTCAGAAACCGATCAGGGGATGGTGAAGCATGGGATCTCCTCCATACAGGATTTTGTTTTTGTCTCGTCCGCAGCTTGACTCCCCCCATCAACATGTTGTTAGAAGCCATCATCCGCCCCCCAAGGGTGGTGACAGCTATCATTGCTGCCATGTGTTGGATGCCTATTGAATGTCTCAGGCTTTTTTTTTTTTTTAAAGTCTGGTCTTTGTGTAATTCTCAACACAACCCCATGAGGTTAATTGTCACAGATGAAGACATTGACTCTCAGAGAGGTCAAGCAACTTGTTCAAAGCCATAGAGCCAAGTCTTAGACCATAATGATAACATTGCCCTTAAGCTTTAGAGTAAGTTCCAGATTCCTCCTTGCCCTCCACAGTCCTCCACAGTCTGGCTCTCACTGTGACAATGTTTATAATACCCCCCTGTTCACCTAGCTCAAGAGCATTAGCCATGATGCAGAGGGTTGGTCCCCCTATGCCACAGCTGAGATGCCCCCTCTTTGGTCTAGAGGTCTGGGAACAGCAAATCGCTTTCTCCGAGACAGTCCAGTGTAGGTGTGCCCCATAGGTTTGTGGTGTTTCCCCATTCTGGATCTGACCCTTAAAAAGCTTCAGGGAACTGCAGGGAGGGCAAGAGCTGAAACATGGAATGTGGGTCTAGGCACAGGCAATGAAAGAAAGGCTCCATCAAGATGAGGTGTCCACTTGGACAAGCAAGTCCCAGACGGAGCACCTCCTCCACCCTTAGCCATAAAGTTACCAGTGGACTCAGGTGGCCTCTTAGCCTTTTCCCTCTCCCTGCCCTTCCCCACCTCCCATGCTTCCAATCTGAGCCCTGGACCCTGAGGTTACTAGACGAGGATAAGCAAGGATCCTCAGTCCGGGCTGTCCCTTCTGTACACCGAACTTCCGGAAGGTTGTCATAGGGCCTGTGGCTCTGTGGTGGCGGGGAAGCAGTAACCTCAGCCGAGGGCTCAGGAATACTGGTGGAAGCTCTGTGTCTCTTCTGGCTGCGAGAAGCCCAGGCCATGCTCAAATGCTTGGCGCATTGCCCTGTACACCTTAGGGGCTGCACACATGTGCAGTCTCAGTGTGACAGCGTGTGGCGGTCATCACTGGCCCAGAGGCAGTCCTTAGCAGCCTTTTCTGAGCCCAGGGATGGCTGTGCGTGGTTGTCTCTCTATTCTTCTCCTGAGGTCGGGGTCTACAGGTCTTTCCTTTCCCTTCGGCTCTCCACCCTCTCCTCCATTCTCCCACCTGCCACTGTGAAAGGTCACTTGAGAAACATACGCTGAGCTTGTACTTTGTGCCTCTGTCAGCCCTGGAACTCAATTTCCACCCTTCGTTCTGTAGGGACCCATGAGATATGGACACTGCCCCCTTTTTTCTCTTGTGCCCACCATTCCAGTCAGGCTTTATTCCCCTCCTGTGTCTAGACTGCTTTGCTTCCACCGGAAGTTTTTTTTTTTTTTTGTTTCCTTTTACATAATGCTGCTGCTGAGAAAAGTCTTTGCCAGCTACCTTAGCTAAGGACGGTAGCCTCGTTACATCTTTTACTTGCCAGTCTGCCCCTTGGGTTGTGCTTCTCATTTGTTTGCTCCCTGTTCATCATCTCCCATCTCCATTAAAATGCAAACTCCATGAGGGTAATGACTCTGCCTGAGCCAGGTAGTGGTGGTGAATGCCTTTAATCCCAGCCTTGGGGAGGCAGGGGTCAACAGATCTCTGAGCTCAAGGCCAGCATTGTGCACGTATAGAGTTAGTTTCAGGACAGGACAGTTAGTTTCAGGCTACACAGAGAAACCCTGTCTCGAAGAATTTTAAAAAATAAATAAATAAAGACCATGCCTGTCTTGTCTTCTTTTCTTACTTAATGCCTACCACCGTAGTAGTTGTTAGTGAAAAACCGGTGGACAGAGAGTAAGAGCTGTCTCTCACTTAGTGAAGGCTGACGCAGAAGCCATTATTGTGGGCATTTACCCTGTGTGGTGCACGACCTGAATTACGAGTACTATTCTCAATGTGCAGAAGAAGACACTGAGGCAGTGTGTTCTGGTCGGAAATTGAACCCAGGTCGTCTGGCTTCAATCATCCTTTAATATCTAAGGGCTCTTGGCATAGGTGATTGAATGAGATAATGGCCCTTGTTTAGTTTGGTGTAGCGAAGAACACCTTTAATCCCAGAATGTGGGAGGCAGAGGCAGGTGGGTCTCTATGAGTTCAAGGCTATCTTGGTCTGTATAATGAGTTGCAGGACATCCAGAGCTACATAGTGAAACCCTGACTCAAAAGAGAGAGACAGAGAGAGACAGACAGACACACACACACACACAGAGATCGAGAGAGAGAGAGAGAGAGAGAGAGAAGAAAGAAATATTAAGCAGCCAGATGTGGTGGCATATGCCTTTAATCCCAGCACTCAGGGAGGCAGAGGCAGGCAGATTGATGTGAGTTCGAGGCCAGCCTGGTCTGCAAAGTGAGTCCAGAACAAGGCTACACAGAGAAGCCTTTTCTTGAAACAAAAATATTAAATTCTGCACAGCCCATAGGAGGGGCCTAGCACAGTCAATTAGACACACATCATTTATGGAAGGTGATGGAGAGGAAGGGTTGTGAGATTGGTAAGATAGGGCTGGAGGGATGAGGAGCCCTCTGATGGTCCCTGCTTACTTGTAACCCAGGTCCTTTCACCCTCAGGTCCTCATACCAAAGTAGTGCGGCGCATCTTCACCAACAGCCGGGAGCGCTGGCGGCAACAGAACGTGAATGGGGCATTTGCCGAGCTCCGTAAGCTGATCCCCACGCACCCACCAGACAAGAAACTAAGCAAAAACGAGATCCTGCGCCTCGCCATGAAGTACATCAATTTCTTGGCCAAGTTGCTCAATGACCAGGAGGAGGAAGGAACCCAACGTGCCAAGCCTGGCAAGGACCCCGTGGTGGGAGCTGGTGGGGGTGGGGCAGGGGGCGGCCTACCCCCTGAAGACCTTCTACAGGACGCACTTTCCCCCAATTCCAGCTGCGGCAGCTCTCTGGATGGGGCGGCCAGCCCGGACAGTTACACAGAGGAGCCAACCCCCAAGCACACGGCCCGCAGCCTCCATCCTGCCCTACTGCCTGCTGCAGATGGGGCTGGTCCCCGGTGATGTATCTGGGGCTGCCCAGGGCCAGCAGACAGGGGCTTTTAGGTCCCCGGGTTGCTTGGCTTCAGGGCAGATGGGATGAGAAGCAGGGCAATGGACTTGATAAACTTCCCTTATAATCTGAACTTTGGGAAGTCCCAACTGACCCTGGCCAGGCGTTTCTGTTTCCTGCCCGGAAACGGAAAAGGAAAACGAAGTTAAGTAGTAGGTACTTTATCCGAAGATGGCACGGTCCTCTCCCTCTCCCACCCCCCGCGACGTCCCAGTTATGAGGCTCAAGTGTCAATGTTTTTGGTCTAGAGTTTGTGAAACTTGGTTTAGATAAGATCTGGGGTTGTTACCTGTTACCTGAGGCATCCCTAGGCCTCTGCCTTGCCTTTAGCCCATCCCGAGCTGGCTGGGGTGGCTTTTGTGGCAGCTTCTGTTCAAATATATAGGTACCCAAGAGCTGCCCATTTCTTGAGCCCCATCTTCATCCAGGTCCGTGTTGATCCATCCAGCTTGCCAGCTGCTGCAGAGAGTCAAGCCTCGAGGTGCCTTCTTCAGGGCCTGGTTGGAAAAGATGGCCAGAGAATAGACAGCCTGCTCTCAACTAGCTGGGCCAGAAAACCCAACAGCCCTTCTTGCCCCAGGGAACCAGAGCTCCGCTTTCTCCCCGCTGAGACTTGCCTTTCTATCCTGTGGCTGTGAGGACCAAGTCAGCAGCCCTGAGCATGCTCTGTTAGGCTGTGTGCAGGCACAGAAAGGGAAAGTGACATTAGGGTGAAACGAAGCAACAGTGTTTGGGGCTCTGGGTTTCAACTCCTGCACATGATGGTGTGATGATGCATTGCATGTTGGTGCTGGGGCTATGCAGCCCACGGGCTTCCCCAGGGAGCTGAAAGGGAAGCTTTCTTTTGCAAGATGTCTGTTGGCTGATGGTCTGGACTTCCAAATGGAGTACAAACTGTCTTGTAAATACTCTGTTAGGGATTTTGCTTGACCAGTTTTTGGTGGCAACTTTACGCCATGAACAACCCAAGATGCAGCCTGCTGCTAGGGCAAGGAGTCCAGGCACAGGCAAGGCCCTGGCTGAGACCTGGGCTCGAGTATTTGCTCAGCCTAACTTTTAAGTACGCCCCTGTCTCGCAAAGTGCAGGCCCTACGTGTGTGCACGGTAGGTTGATTTAATGCGATGTGAGTGGCCCCCTCTGGAAGCTGTACATGAAACTTTTGTAAAGCAAATCCTCCTCTGTCTCTTAAAGAAGTAACCCCTGCAAGTCATTTTTGTAAAGTGGAGAATTCTTTTGTCGTACAGACAGCTCCCCCAGGGTTCCTCCCCTGTGTCGAACCAGTAGGTGGGCCCGATTTTTCGTAAGGCTAGGCCTGCCTATAATGAAGTTCAAGCTCATGGAACAAACTGCACAGAAGTCCTATGTCTGCCATTGCACCGCTGTCACCAGCTCTTCCTCTCTTCCTCCAGGCTTTGCCTTTGAGCCCCAGGGAAAGCTCCATCGTGTGATGGAGGAGCCCATCACTTCTCTGTTTGAGTTTCAGCACAATGGCTTGTACCCACTGCGATGTTGCCTGAGTATAGACTTAGGCAGACAGAGATGGCTCCTGGTCCTCTCCCTATCTTCTTCCTATTAAGTGCTGAGGTCCCCCAGGCATAGGAACAATTATGGCCAGCTACTAAGGCACTGTGGTCCTTGTCTCATCACATTGTGCTATATATCGCCATGAGCATTAAGGTTGGTTCCTAAGCATCGCTTGGGTGTCAGTCCAAGGACTCAGACCCATGAGAAAAAAAATGGAACAACTGTCCCGGGCGCTAAGCTTGTTTGTGCTTCTCAGTGGAGCAATGACCTGGGAATGAAAAATGTGGATCTTGTCGGTGGGTTTCATGAGAGGTATCACACACTTGCCAGGAGCTTAAGCTGTGGTTCCCTTCCTCAGCTTGACAGCTTCACTGGACAGTGAACTAACACTGACGTTGGAAGCTCACTGAGTCTGTAAAGAGTGCCGTGCTCTGGGGGATGCAGCGCAGTGGGAGAGAAGTACACATGGGCTTCTGGGTTCAGTGCCTAGTGCAGACACAAGAGAAGCTTCATTTCCTTTGGTGGCGACCCTGCTGTGAGGTTCCGGCCAGAGTTCAGGCCCTGGGCAGTTGATATTTGTGTAATTTAGGTAATAAAATACTTTCCCTTGAGCTATCTAGATCCTCATTTCTCAGGATTAATCTTAATTTCTCCCTGATCCCAAGGCAAGAGACAGGAGTGGGAGAGGGAGAGAGATTGGGGGCATGGGCAGTGCCTCTAGACTGCTAACATTCTAAAGGGGCGAGACAGGGAAAACCAGGTGCTTGGTCTTTGTACGATCTAAGGAAGACCCCGAATTCTGTTTTCATACTCCACACCCCATATCTTTCTTTCTTTGCCTCCTCCTCACTCTTGAAGAAATGGCAACATCACAAGAATAATATCTATACAAAGGAGGGAAATGTAACTGTGAGGAAAACAACTATGAACGTAACTACTAGAGGGAATCCTACCTTCCATGAATAATCCATGTTTGGTTGTGGTGACAAGTGACAAGTTGGCACAACCTTTATCCGTTCCCAGAAACAAAAACAGAGGGCACAGCAACTGTAGTGAGCCGACAGCTATTTTGGCCTTTTGCGTGGGTCTAACCATACTTGGGATCCCAGGGTACACGACCCTCTGCCTCAGCCTGGCCTCAGCCTGTGGACACAGCATGCCGTGTCTGTGGGCCAGCCCAGCACTTTCTGTCAGTGTTGTACTGTATGTGATGAACAGTGTTGGTCTCTGCATTTTTCTGCAGAAGAGGAGTAATTGCTCCCGGTACCTTGATGTGTGTGCAGCCTAGAGGCCAACACTGTGGGCGTGTGACTCTCTATTGGAAAACACACACACACACACAAAACAAAAACAAAACAAAAAAATACCAGTGTGATGATGGTGTGTGTGTGTGTGTGTGTGTGTGTGTGTGTGTGTGTGTATGGTTTTATGGGAAAGATCTCTAAATAAAAGGTTTACAAAGGGGCTTGGACTTTGTGCTTGCACTCTGCCCCCTAGAGCTTGAGAATGGGGATGGTAAGTGGAAAAGCCTAGCAAGACTTGGCTCTACTACTCTTAGGAAGTGGGCTGTAGGGAGGAAGCGGGATACCCCCTAAGGAAAGGGGTTCCTTCTTATCCTCCTGCAAGGCTTCACAGGGCTTAGGATCCTGTCCTTTTGTTTGCAGCCCTAGACAGCCTGGCAGGTCGCCCTTTCTGTGTTGGGTCTGCTTCCTCCTTCCTTTTAGATCTGTTTCCCTGGTTGGGGCCATTGCTCCCAACGAGAGTTTAGGACAGACAAATGAAGCTCGTGCCCTCAGGCTTCCTGATGGCTTAGTAAAGGCTTCAGCCTTTTTTTTTCTTTTTTAACAATTAAAAACTATTTTATGTGATTGGCCTTCCTGTATACATGTCAACACCAAATATGCGCAGTGCCCACAGAGGCCAGAAGAGGGCGTCGGGTTCCCTGGAACTGGAGTTAACAGACCGTTGTGAGCAGCCCCTGTAGGTGCTGGACTTTCACGAATGGAATTTGAGACAGAGACTGTGCGTCTTCCGGAGGCCACTGCCCATGGGCGTTTGACATCTTGGGAGTTTGTAGGAGGGCACCCTTCTGTTTTCTCATTTAACAGGCATTTGCTGACCATCTGCTCTGGGGAGATAGTGTTCTCTTCGGCACTGAGCAAACCTAGGTGCTGTCCATGGCAGCTTACATTCCAGCACAAACACACACGACTAGAGCTAAACAGTTAGAGAGCAGTTAGTATTAACACAGTCTCAGGCTAGCCTGGGCCACGTAAGACACTCTCAAAAATCCAAACCAAAAGGAGTGGTAAGGAATGGAAGGGACAGATCAACGGGGATAGATCAGGGAAGGCCCCAAGGTGCCATCTTTTCCATTCAGGGTCAGAAGATTCCTGGCACCAGGGACAACATTGTCCTAGGGGCAGGATTTGGTCTGTCTACATGTTACCTGGGCTAAGAAGCCTTGAAAAGGCTTTTTTCTTTCCTCCTCTCTGGATCTCAGTACCCACCCCCAAATCTAGAGACACGGACACTGGCTCAGATTCAATATTGGGACATTCAGTGGTTGTCCTCTTGGCTTCTATCTCTCTCCTGGAGGGAGAACTGGGAAGTTCCCCCGATGTTGGCCCAGGGCAAGAGTGGTATGATTTGGCTTGGGGTGTGGAGAAAGATGGATCTTAGGTTACAGACCTGAGTAGCAGGGTAGAGGAGCTACCAAGATAGGAGAGAAAAAAAGAGGAAGAGTGTCTGGAGTGGAGGAAGCGGCCATGCATGTTCAGTACGGCTGAGGGCTCATGCAAGGCAAATCTAGGTTTACTGGTTTTAGCAACATGGAGGCACCTGATGGCTGGGAGAGTACAGCAGCTGGGAGGAGTAGAGCCCTGAGGGCCCTGAAGGATTTTCCCCACCTCAGAAGGATTTTCCTCAGGAGAAACAAGCCTTTCCATGTAATGAGGACCGAGAGAGCCTGGACTCCAGCCACCAAGAGAACAAACAGCCTCCTGGAAGTCATCTGTGGAGACAGAGACCAAGAGAGAAACTGTCCTCCCAAGCCTTGTATCCCACAGTGATGAGTAGGCAGGCCCAGTCTTCCTGTTTTCCCTGAGACAGTGCTGTCCCTAACTGCACAAAGAAAAAAAGAACCGCCAACCTTGCCTGAAATATTTGGCTGATCTGTTCTCTTTTATTTCTTGTCATTCCATTTTGTGTGTGTGTGTGTGTGTGTGTGTTTGTGTTTGTTTGCTTTTCTAAGACAAGGTCTCATTGTAGCCCAGGTTGGCCTCGAACCCACTAAGTAGCTGAGGATGACCTTGAACTTCTGATCTTCTTGCCTCTGTCTCTGGAGTGCTGGGATTACAGGTGTACTACCATACCAGGCTTATGCAGTCATAGGAGCTAAGCACAGGGCTGTGCACATCTGAGGCAAGTACTCTGCCAACTGGACCCCACCCCGACCCCACCCCACCCCTCACTGTTTTGTGCCTATTGTACTGTCTTCCTTTCTGTTTTGTTGTTCTATCCTCCCAGTTGTTGTACCGCACTTTTGGTTTATTTTTCACAGAACAGCCTCCTATCCTCTCTGTGCACTCCCATTTGGTTGAATTGTCCCTGAAGATCAGGAAGCCTTTCTGACTCCTTTTTGTCCCCAGTGAGTCCCTGCATGTTGGCCCTTCCCACCCTAACATTCGCCTACTTATTTGCTTCTGCACTGAAACACAAACCCCTCGGAGCTGGAGTCAAGTCTGATTAGGCCCCTGCCCAGCACCTTAGGGTACAAAGATTCAGGTTCCTTTCCTACTGACAGTGAACAACCCCTTCTGCGCCCTCAGCCTCGCCTTCTCCCTGGGCCTCACGCCTGATTCAACTACCATGCATCTGAGTAAAGGAAGGTGTATCCGCATCACCCAGGGGAGGACAGGAAGCCAGAGCTGGAAGGGGCTGGGGCAAGGTGAACTAGATATAAATTCAGGGCTACACCCAGAGCTAGCGCTCCAGACCCCTCAGGAAGGGCAGGAAAGGGAAGAGACAGCAGACAGCTCGAGTCTTAGAGGAGATGGCTCTGCTTTCCCTATGCACAAGATGGCTACAGATTGAGGACCAGGACCAGAAATGATCTGTGTGGAGGTATAAAGAGGACTGGAGGACAGGCACAGCAGATGACTGAGAAGACAGGGTGTCGGGACAGTTTTCGTGGCACAGTTGGTGAAGGCAGGAACCGGGGCCTGGGTGGAAAGGAGAAGAAAAAGCAGCCAGGCCACTGGAAGGGCTTGCCCTGGAGTCAGAATCCCTCGGGAGTTTAGGGACAGGACTAGTCCTGCTACTTGGTGTAATGGCTTGTGACGCCGGGTGAGTCACTATTACTCTGAGGTTTGGCTTCTTTATCTGTTGAACAGAGATATTAAACACTCATCTTCAAGGACTGTCATGGGACTTCAGAATAATATACAAAAAGTATCTGTGTTTCACAAAAAGATTCTACAGACAGGTCTATAGAAACACCTATAAGAAAGCATTGTTTTTTCCAGGAAATGGGACAGGATGGGGCTGCCCTAACAGAAGAAACAAGGGAAAGGGCATGTGTATGAAGGAATATTAATCACCCCTCAGCAGCAACAGGACTTTCTGTGGTCCTCTCCCATGTCAGGTAAGGCTGGGTAGCCAGCAAGGATCACCCGTTTTTACTTCAAAGGCTCATGAGCTGAATGGAAGTCGGTGGAGGGGAGAACCCTAGAGTCTGCTATGGGAGGGGCTTAGTGGTGTGGGCAGACTAGCTCTGACAACAGGGACCATGAGCAAGTGTGCTGAACTAGCAGCTCCTGAGGAGAAGGTTGGGCGGTATCTGGGAGGAGGCTCCACTTCCTGCCCTGAGCATCACCTGTTTTTATCAGATAGTAGATTAGGCTGGTCCAGGAATGCTGGCTTCCTTCTGGGCTCCACACTTACCGCCGGCCTACCTGGAGTGAGGCAACCCACTTCACTGTGCCTTCTAGCTCCTCCTTAATCTTTCCCACTGGCTTGGTCTGAGCCCTGCCCTCCCCAGCTCCTGGGCTTTTCTCTCCACACAATAACAGGATGTGATCTTCGAAGAGAGGAAGTGGGGGAGGACTGCTGTGCCGATAGCAGGGAAGGAGGGGGCTTCTGACGCGCACCTCTCTTGCCCACTCTTGATCTGTGGGCCAGCCCCTGTGGCTCCTTTCCCCTGGGCCCTACCATACGCTTCTATCTGAGACTAGTGAGAATAAGGGGTTTTTAGGCCCATGCAGGATGTTTGCCTGCGGAGAAATATGCTGTGGCCACACCTTCTGCAGGACCTGCTTCTGGAGAGGCTTGCTGGCCTCGCTTCAGATGCTGGGTTGTTTCCTGCCCTGGAGCTGCTGGAGTCTAAGGGTAGACAGGTGGGTTGCTCAGAGGGCCTCCATCTGTCCAGTGGCTTCCTAAGTCCACACAAGCATGATTTAATGCAGTGAGTGATGAAATCAGTCAAAAAGTCCTTATCAAAAGCTGGCTTAGCCTTGTACAATGTGTGGGCCAGGCTGCAAAAATAGTAAAATTCAGAAAGACAAGGAGCATGGAGTAGAAGCTAGGCTGAGCTGGAACCTAGATCCATTGG